GGGGGGAGGAGAGAGAGAGGGGAGAGAGAGAGAGAGAGAGAGAGAGAGAGAGAGAGAGAGAGAGAGAGAGAGAGAGAGAGAGAGAGAGAGAGAGAGAGAGAGAGAGAGAGAGAGAGAGAGAGAGAGAGATAGTGAGAGAGAATGAGAGTGAGAGAGAATGAGAGTGAGAGAGAGGGAGGGGGGATGAGAGAGAAAGGGGCGTCAGACACGCTACGGTCACTAGGGTTTTGACCAGACTACTCTTTGCCCCTGGTACCCTGTGAAAAATATAAAGCACTGATTTGAGCTCTGGATTTTGAAATGTTTCAGAGGAGACACCCCAACCCCACGAGTAACTTTTACTTTATGTGGCTGACCATACCACCCTAAAATACCTTCCGACGCCCCTGAGAGAGATGCATTGCTAGACAGCAAGCATCATATACTTCATGTTGTTGGTATGCTCATCAGCAGAGTGGGAGCAAGATCAAATCCCATACTGCCACACAAAGCAGATCAAGGGTCGCATTGCAAACATCAGGCATGATTGACTACCAGCGTATATTAAAGCATTCTTGCACACACATGCACCCATCCACACAAAGACACGGATACAGACTCGCACATGCCAACAACGTTACATACCATTTTGAGCAACATACAGATTGTCCAGCAGAAACAACTGCAACACCGCCGTTGCCAGCACAATTCGCCTCATCCTAGCAATTGCCACGCTGCTGCTTCACGCTCACCAATCTAGAACATCAGACAAGGAGTGTTTAGAAGAGTATCTCTTTGTCGTTGTTACTCTAATCGTGTGGCACATTCGCACTACAATTCTACGACTGCTAGCAAGAGTACATAACGGGGGGTTATGTACTATTGGTGCTAGTTTGAAAATACGTTACGAATTTGAGCAATTGTTACGTTGTACAGCAGGTACGAACAATTACTATTACATACTCACCGGTTTTCGTTTCGGAGTCCCGCGCTGTGACTCAGCTAATTTCTATTTCGTTTACCTTGTATTGTCTGACTAGGGGCGCTGTCACCCCGTCGGGTGCAAGCACCCTTGGACAGAAGCACTTCACTTCACGACAAGTGTTCATTTTCGTTTTTCTCTTCTGCTTCTGTTACACAGTTTGAACTAACTTTGAATGTGTGCTTTTTTCGTACTCTGCTCTCGATCGAACCAAGCGCGCGCGGATCGATCTCCATAATCTTCCGTTGCCATGACTGGCATTACTCATGATTAGTAAGTATGTGGTGACTTTAGCAGTTCCCATACCATCATTCGCATCAAGAGTACATTTCATTTGATACCATGCATACTGGCTTGTAACTTTTCCGTTTTCACTCCTGGGTTTTCCATAAACGGTGACTTTGATTTTTATGGCCATTTACCGGAATTATAATGTGTACGCTACTTCTGGCCAGATTGTACGCATATATCCCATGCATCCTAGTATTTCGCCAGGCATATACCGTAGCGTATCTGTATATAGGACATGCCGGTATACACACTGTCACTGTACTATGTCATTACTACACATGTACACCCTTTTCCTTACTGGCCAAGACATTCTCAACCTAGAGCTTTAGGCCAGTAGATAGTTTGGTTTCATCGAAGTCAGTTGCCTTTCTATCTCTCTTTCATTGCTTTGTCAATATTACAGTAATAATACAACTCTATCGATTTACGCCATTTGTGTTCGTTTTAACCCTAGAACAGCCAACGGTGTCATTTGACACCTCGCGAGTCAAACTTTTGGAATTACCGAAATATGGCTAATCAGAATAAGCTCAAATCTTGTGACTATTCCTAATTTTGCTTTCCCTTTCGTCTGCCATAAACCTTTGATTTTTAATTGATGAGGTACCACAATGGCGAGTACGTATACCTAGAACGGCCAACCAGTGTCATTTGACACCTGCACTATAAAAAGCCATTATTGCAGCTACATGGAAACAATATGAACACATTTCGAAGGTGTCGGCCATATCGAGTTGCTCGTATGCCAACCAGACAAAAGAAAGGTGCATGGGCAGGAAAATCGCTGAATACAGGACGAAATATATGATCAACATACAACCGTCGGGCGAGAATCGCGAATTTGGGGCGGGTAAACATTAGTGCACAGATAACACAAGCACTCTTCAGTGAATGTCCTTGATACTGCTCATTCCCTTTCATTCTCCTGTAAATTGCCCCAGACTAGAGGAGCCATTGCGGTCTGACGGCCCCGGGAATACTAAAATGGATGTAGCATATTACCATGCATGAATCTGATGACCATGAAAGCAAAATTGCCCACTTTATCTATTTGATGGCTGTTCAAGTGTAGTGAATATTGGCAGTGGTGGATCTGTTCTGTCATATGAGGGCGAATCGGTCACAACACCTGAGTAACTGTGGATTCAGAATGTATTGAGGTTTACGAGCCTCCAGAGAGCGGACGAGGATTGCGGGATAGTACAGACAAGGAACTGTCAGAAACAGTTGCAGGAGTGGTGGAGACCCCGATATGGATAGTGTTGAGGAAGAGAAATCGCAACTCTGCAACCTGGAGATGGTACACCGCATTATCGCAAGGATGGTGCTGTGTAGATAATATTTTCTAACTACTTGCCGAGCTAATAAGGCTATTGAACCAAACCTCTTCCTCCTCCGCGTCAGGCTAAACGGGTAGGCAGCCGCTGGGATGCCTCCTCTCTCTTTATTGTCCCCGGATGCTGCAGAAGGTGATTGCTAAGTCATAACTGATAACTTCATCATCAGTGCATTACTGTTCAAGAAACTGTTGGAGAATAAAGAGTTGCAGTATGAACCACTTTGGTAAATTGAAGTGAACTACCATCTAACTTCATTGCCAATAATCGCGGATTGCATTTTGTTTTTTCAAGATAACATTGTAGGATGCAAAGACGGTAGAAGGTAGAAGTAGCAAGAAGTATCAATGGTCCGCCTAGTGTAGACCACCTAGAGCCATTATGGTTTACATAGTGAAAGTAGGAAGCCCCACACAGTCCAATTCTAGCAAAAGACGAGATAGGTCCTTGACCATTTCGATCGAATGTGGTGGATCTACTCAACAAAGACTATTCCAGAAGATGTCCCCCTTCAAGGCGGTTACATAAATGAATAGATGTGACAGGCATCAACGCTTTCACAATATCCCAGACCTTTGCTAGTTCATGGACATCCAGAAAAAGCTCATTCCTGCACTGGTCAATAAGCTTGTAGATAGTCCCGGCATCTAGTTGCTAAGTTCCAGCCAAGGAGAAGAGAAGGGTATACCTCTTTGAAAGAGTCTAAAATGCAGTCGTTACTAACCTAATCTTGAAACCATGTCTAGCAGCATATGTGTCAGCTTGGTGAAACAATGATGCTCATAGTCAGTCCATGTTTGTACTTGTTACTGTGTGTTATTCATCGTGAAGGTCGAGTAATCCGATTATGCCAAAGCACATATTCCCGAAAAGCAGTTCCTAATGAGCCCAGTGAAGTTGCCACATTGCTGGTTATTGTAACTCTGTGATTATAAGAAATTCCTTTGGAAGTGATTGAAGTTTTGCCAGTAATTGAGTTCATTCGTCGCAATCGCCGTTACGCGTACATTGTATTTTAGTTGCGTATAGCCAACAATAGTGTCTGGGTGAATCCTAAATTGTTGTGTACATCATAAATTCCCCTAGTGATAGCCAGCACTGAAAACAACAACTATAATAACCTATATCATAGGTCTTAGACATGGAAATGTATGCAGGTGTCAAATGACACCGTTTGGTCGTTCTAGGAGTACTGAAAGTGGTGGCCGTCCTAGGGTTAAAGGGGAAGTTAAGGCAAAAATTAAAATCTCACCAGTTGTAGTCTTCGGGGTACTGAGTCAGGAATGGTCTTGGTCCGAGAAAGCTGAGACGCTCCCTTCCTACTTGAATCCCAATCGAACTACTTCCACCGAAACTGGGTGACTGCGCCCTACTAGATGGGGATTTGTATGCAAAATGTCACTAAAAGCGCCATTTCGTTCTTATAAAAGCACGGATGACCGCGATTGGCCCATATGTTGTAGTCTTTTGGACGCTGAGTCGACTGGTTTTGGTCCGAAAAGGCTGCGATGCAGCGTTCCTCCTTTATTCCCAATCGAACATGGTTGAACAAGCGGTCACCTGCTCCTGCGTACACCAGTCACCTGGTCATCGTGCCTGCAGTGCAGGGTACAACTAACTAGCCTGTTCGACCTTTTTTGGGTGCAGTCCTGTCACTCGAGTTGAACCTTGGTGTGAAAGTAGTCGCCTGCTGGCGTGGTGACCAGGTGATTTGGGCACCCAGGAGCACGTGACCACTTGTTCAACCATGTTCGATTGGGAATAAAGGAGGAACGCTGCATCGCAGCCTTTTCGGACCAAAACCAGTCGACTCAGCGTCCAAAAGACTAACTAGAACATATGGGCCGATCGCGGTCATCCGTGCTTTAATAAGAACGAAATGGCGCTTTTAGTGGCATTTTGCATACAAATCCCCATCTAGTAGGGCACAGTCACCCAGTTTCGGTGGAAGTGCGCGAGTTCGATTGAGATTCAAGTAGGAAGGGAGCGTCTCAGCTTTCTCGGACCAAGACCATTACCATTCGGCTCAGCACCCCGAAGACTACAACTGGTGAAATTTTAATTGTTGCCTTAAAGGGGAAGTATACCCTAAAATCAAATTTTCACCAGTTGTAGTCTTCGGGGTGCTGAGTCGAATGGTCTTGGTCCGAGGAAGCTGAGACGCTCCCTTCCTACTTGAATCCCAATCGAACTCGCGCACTTCCACCGAAACTGGGTGACTGCGCCCTACTAGATGGGGAGTTGTATGCAAAATGTCACTAAAAGCGCCATTTCGTTCTTATAAAAGCACGGATGACCGCGATTGGCCCATATGTCGTAGTCTTTTGGACGCTGAGTCGACTGGTTTTGGTCCGAAAAGGCTGCGATGCAGCGTTCCTCCTTTATTCCCAATCGAACATGGTTGAACAAGCGGTCACGTGCTCCTGCGTACACCAGTCACCTGGTCACCGTGCCTGCAGGGTACAACTTACTAGCCTGTTTGACCTTTTTTGGCTGCAGTCCTGTCACTCGAGTTGAACCTTGGTGTGAAAGTTGTCGCCTGCTGGGCGAGTGCTGGCGCGGTGACCAGGTGATTTGGGCAACCAGGACCACGTGACCGCTTCTTCAACCATGTTCGATTGGGAATAAAGGAGAAACGCTGCATCGCAGCCTTTTCGGACCAAAACCAGTCGACTCAGCGTCCAAAAGACTGCAACATATGGGCCAATCGCGGTCATCCGTGCTTTTATAAGAACGAAATGGCGCTTTTAGTGACATTTTGCATACAAATCCCCATCTAGTAGGGCGCAGTCACCCAGTTTCGGTGGAAGTGCGCGAGTTCGATTGGGATTCAAGTAGGAAGGGAGCGTCTAAGCTTCCTCGGACCAAGACCATTCGACTCAGCACCCCGAAGACTACAACTGGTGAAAATTTGATTTTAGGGTATACTTCCCCTTTAACTTCCCCTTTAAGAGTTGTGCTAGGGCTAGGACCCTACAAGTACAAGTACGCGTTCTGTACTCACTCGCTGCTTGGCACGCTTGCAGCGCTAGCGCGTCTTCTGTTGCAACCCAGTGCCTGCGTGCACGGTACGGGATTTGCGATGCCACATCAGCGTTGGTGTGTCGTTGTGCTTCGTTGTTGTTTTGTTCTTTTGCTGAGTAGTG